CCCGGCGCAGCATAATTGACCGAAGAAAAGATAAAGAAGTAGAGCAACCGCAGTCGAACGTCAACACTCAAGAGCTTCACCATCGCCGTTCGCGCAGCGCAACGTCCACGAGGATCTTGCGATTGCGCACGACCGAGAGGAGCAACATCATGGGAAGCAAGAATAAAGCGAAGCAAAAGCAAAAGCAAAAGCAAAAGCACAAGCACAAGGGGACCGCTTCGGTTGGCGGAAAAAATGGCGAAAAGAAGGAAACACCAACCGCAGGTGCTTTGTCTACGACGCCCTCACTTCCTGCCTCGTCGTCGACCGCGGCGTCCAACAAGGAAGCGGAAAGCATTAAACTTTCTGATGGAAACGTAGGTCTTGTCGAGGGGCAACAAGAAGAGGGTACTAGTACTAGTAGTTCTTCTTGCCCGTCCTCAAGCTCCAAAAGTATGGAGGACGAAGAAGATGTTGAACCAAGCCAGGCATGCTCCAAGAGCCAGGAGGAGACCACAGCACCTCTCGCTCTCCAGCAAAATCCCGTGGCGAGGAGCGAGAGCGAGGACAGCACGACAGAACAAGTATCAGGACAGCACCAGGAACACGACCAGCAGGAGGACTTGGTGGAGACGAGTGCTGGAGGGGCTGCACAAGCGGAGGCCATCACTGAAGCTGCCGAAGAAGCGGAGGAGGTGGATTACATTGAACATCGCGACAAAGAACGTCGAGAAGAACCAGAGCGGCTTGACGGTTCCTTTTTTTCCTGTAGTGAAGACGGTGAGGATGCCCATGCCACTGAACAAGTTGAGGCAGATCCTGAAAGTCTTCCTGTGCAAGAAGAACTAGATGACACGACTCCTGTTGAAGAGACCAGCTTCGCCACGCCCACGCCCGAAGAAACGGATATCATCTGCGAGAACAATGATACTACTGAGGAACGACCAATGCTGGGGGTACTAGCACAGCAAGAAGAACGAAGTCGCCCCCTCGCGCCGCTTGAAGTAGTGGAGCTAGGGGACGAGGAAGACAAAGCGAGTGGCAACAGCCCGGAAGTGGAGCGAGGGCCAGGGGACGAACACGAAGACAAAGCGAGTGGCAACAACCCGGATGATGTGGAGGTGTACGACCAAGAAGATCTCCTGCCCCCGACGCCGGACGTCGATGCGGAGTGCAGCAGCAGCCCCGGGGCCAAGGCGGCAGGTTGTACAACTGCGTCGCAAGAAGAAGACGAGGAAAGAGACGCGGACCTTCTGGTCGTGAGCAAGAAGATCCCGCCGGGCGCTGCGGAGGACATGATCAGCGACAATCACCCTCTTGCTGCGGAGGACTCTTTGCGGACCGCAACTTCGGACGAGAACAAGTGCACCCAGAACATTGAAGAGCCCGAGGATCTTGTAACCTGCAAGAGCACGGCAGCTGGCACCGGCAAGAAGGACAATATTGAACGTGACCAAGTAGTTCAAGAGCAACAGCAATTTGAAAAAAAAGCAGATCAAGATAAGAACGATACGGATACTCCCTCGGCCAACACTGCGAGTAACAACCAGGAAAATGAATACAAAACCACTACTGTGTCCTCCGAAGAAGAACAAGAAGAGGAAGGACATCGTGTATACGAAAACGAAGTGGGCAGCGACTGCGACGTAAATCGCCTTCTCGCGATGCACAAATTGTACGGCCACCAGGTGAAGTTTTTTTACAAAAGGAGGGGCGGACCGAACGGGGACACAAAAATTCCCGTGCTTCCAGAAGTCCTTTGGAAGAAATCAAAGCAGAGTTCTTGTTCTGCTACAACTACTTCCGGGACGGCCGGCGACGAGGACAAGACGAAGACCAACACCGCTGCGCGACATCTTCCAGGCCAGAAGGTCGAACCTCAAATAACGGAGTCTGATTCTGAAGCTTTGAATAACCATGCCGCGGTTGTCGTGAACCTCTGGAAAGAAGCTGGCTGGAAGCCGACAAAAAAGGTTATTCTTGGAAAAGAGAGAAATGCTGCAGATCATGTTGACAACAAGCAGCAGCAAACAAAAATCTACCTTGCTGCAAATGGAAATGCAAATGGAACAAACCCGTCTACCTCCACTCCTACGGCCTGCTCTCCCTGCTCCGCTACAACCGAAGACGACCACGACGACGACGACGTCGACCAGCTCGAGCTCTCACTCTCACCGCATAGTTCTTGTCTGGAGGGAAGTACAACAGAGAATGAAGCGGCCGCAGAGCGGGACGACCCTGAGGACGGGAAAGCGAAAGATGCTAAAGTGCGAGATGAAGAGCAGGGGGAACAGAAAGAAACAGAGAAACACCTACATACACCTGGACAAGAGCAACTTGCCTTTCAAGATGATGAAGCTGGCCTTCTTCACACAGAGGAGGATAGTACTGAGAAGGGTGTAGCTCCTCTCGTGAACAAGAAAGCGACTCATAAACGTAGTGAAGGTGTGCCGACGGTTCCAAATGTTGATGAGGTGAACAACATGAATCAACAAGCTCTACCAAGCTATTTCGAGCTGCCGACCGGGCAGTTACCGCCGTGGTTTCTGGCGTTGCAGTACCGCTCTAACGATCCGGCGGATGACGAGGGGTTTGTAGAGGTAGAAGTGGATATGGAAGACAGTGACGACCAGGTGGTGGTTCTGAAGAAGGTGTGTAGCACAACTTCGAGTGAAAATATTAAGTCTGCGACAGCGAGTACGGTAGAAGATCATGAAGAACTACAAATAACAAGTTGCGAAACAAGCAAGAAGATCAAACTGCGTCCCCGCCGTGGTCCGCTGTCCACAGTTCCGGAAATGCTCCGGCGGACACTAGCGGAGGTGAAGGAATTTAGGAACTCGATTGTGAAGCGGAAACCGGAAGACCGGCCCCGGGAAGTCGTCAGCAAGTATGGAAAGGTTATTGTCGAATTGGGTAATTTCATCCGCAAAGAAAAGAACAAGCTACTGGATCTGCACAAAAAAGCGGTGGAGAAAGAGTTCGGTTACGCCTTTCAACAGGAGGACACCAATCCTGACGTTCTACTTCCCAAGGAGGGAGGAGTGCAGGTGCAGCCGGGGGGCGAAAATACAACTACGGAGGTGGAAATGAATGCTGCAGAGGATCTTCGAGCAGGTCGTGCTGGTACTTCTTCGTCTAACACATCAACTACGTCTGCTCTACTGGAAGATGAGGAAGCTCTTCATGTGACAGCTCTTTTGGATCCTCGCCGCTACGAGCCGCGACATGTGCGTCGCCGGTTGGTGCGCGACATTCCGGAGGCCCACTTGGTGGAGGAACTCGGGAAGTTGGTGGTGAAGGATTGTACTCGGTGCGCCACGTTGGTAAAGAAATACGACTTGGACCAGCTGTTGGGGCCCCTGAATGTGCGAAAAATATTCGAGCTGAATCCGCTCTGTTACCTGACCACCGAGACCGGCAAGAAAGGGTGGGAGGAGTTGAAAAAGCAGTATCTTCAAGAGCTTGCTCAGCACGGACCCGTCGGTTATCAAGTACAGGTCGTTGACTATGGTTCTTTTATTCTTGCGACGCCAGAATTTGATGCCGCGGTCGATGTGATGGAAGATGATCGCAAGAACGGCACAACAAGCCCGGCGCGAGGGCTCGTGCTGCGCAAAGATGAAACAGAACAGCAAGGATCAAGCTTATCGTCCTCGACTTCATCAAGTTCAACAAAAGACGAAATAAAAGAAAAAATCCGCAGCGTAAAAAAAGTATACTGCCTCTCGAAGGTGGACTGCAAGCTGATGCAACTGAAGTTCCCGAACTTTCCTTATGCCAGTCTCTGCTTGGACGCAGTTCGTGTCAAAGATGTCGACAAAGTAGTGCGCAGCGACGAGGGAAATAATAGAAAGGTCGTCGACGAAGACGAGTTTTTTCCGGCTGAAAACACGACCTTTCGCTTGGAGGAGTGCACAGGAGCTGAGGAAGAGCTGGCGGACGGTGACGAGGAGTCCGACTTGGTAGACGAACAGCCCGAGGTGGCGGAGATGGTGTTTGCAGCAGCTGCGGAGCTGGAGTTACACAAGGACCTCTGTTACAGTTACGAAGCGACGGAACAGGTCAGGGAGTCACTGGCTAAGCTGACGGCAAAAATTACTAGGGCTGTACAAGACGATGAACAAGAAGGAGCGCAAGATGAAGCGGCAGCAGCGGCTCCCGCGCCGGCTGCAGCAGCACCCCAAAGTAGTAGAACTGCAGTTGTTGCGCAGCATCAACTACCGGAGAAGATCGCGTGGCGTAAGGAAAAGAAAAAAAAGAAGGGACCGGTAGGAGCGGCGGGCTCCTCTTCTGCAGCTTCTTCTAAAAATGCAGGAGCAGCACCAGCTTCAGCTACAGCTACTTCGGGTGGATCATCATCGGGTACTAGTAGCTCGAGCTCTAGTGTTGCAGGACCACGTGCGCCGATCGATTTTATGAAGAAGGGGAGCAAGAAAAAGATGATCAACTTTTTTTCCGAGGCCTACTGTGTTCCGAGCTGGGTGCGGAGAACTCCCGGCACGGCCTTCGCCCGCTACTTTCCAGATTTGTTGTTGCCCGAGGCTGCGCAGGTGCAGCACATCAAGACGGAAAGCCTGAAACTGGTCACGGACACGTGGGACGATAATTTTCGCTACGGCACTAGCGAGGACACTCACGACCTTGCGAAGCGCACGCCTCTGACCCCGGAGGCGGTCTGCTACCCGGAGAAGGGCCTTGTCACCACCCTGGGGCAAAATCGGGAGTTGGTCGAGCGGTGTCTCCCCCTATCGCAGTGGTCTTCGATTTATGCATTGCAAAATCAAAATAAGTATCGTTGTACTATACTTCTAGTATCAATCACTTTACAGTGCTGAAGATTTCTGCTCAAAGGCTGAAACGATAATTTGTCATGCATGATCGCAACTAGTACGAGTAGGAGTACAACGATCGATGCTTTCGCAGGGCATCCGCTTTACCACAGTGCGGCGCTGAATCTCTTCTGGGACATGTACGGACGAGACGGCATGCTCGGAACCAGTAAGTTGACGGTCAAGCAGATGTTTGACATGGCCTGCACAAAAAAGATGAAATCCTACCTCGATTTTGCCTCGACGACGAAATTTGAGGTTGACCAATCGTGCCACACGGCGCTGGTGGCCACCTGCGAGCAGACGCTGTACCAGGTTTGCCGGTTTGTACAGCGGACTTTGGTCACCACCGGACAGAAGCGGACCTTGGCCTTACGGGCAGGTCTGTATAACGAGAACTACGTGCCGAACCCGGTGTGCCTCTATTTTTCGAAAAACGCACTTTTCGCCGAGGTGAAACTGCGCCTGGCGCTGTGGTTCTTCGACTTTTACGAGAGAACGTTCGGAAAAAAGGCTGCGCAAGACCTGAAAGTCCAGCTACAGGCGAGTTTGTTGCAAAAATTCTTGACCTACTGTGAGGAGGAGAAACTCAAAGTGCTGAAGCAGGGACGAGGAGGACAAACACCAACCCGTCAAGAGCCCTCAGGCAGCACGGATGAGAAAGAAGTAGAAGTCCTCGGGGATCATGAAGAGTTCGACAACTTTCGCAAGGTGGATTTACTTGGTCAAGAAGGCGGAGACGTGGGGAATGTGAAGCTTTACTTCACAGCGGCGAGTCAGATCAGCTGCAAGAACCCGGCAGACGCGAGGATCAACGCGAAGAACATGACTGGAGCGAGTGCGGGTTGTTTTTACGTGTGCAAGAAAATAAGTGCTGCAGCAGCAGCACCTACCGGGGCGACAGCTACGTCATCTGTAGACGATGAAACATATCCTGTGCAAAAGTATCGTACTACGTAGAAATTTCGTGACAAATAATTACCGCAGCATGAGATTGAGAAAGAAATGCGGATTTGCTTTGAGAAAGAGGCTTGCGTTTGTCTTACATGGGCGCGATTACTACGAGTACGATACTCTTGCAATTCATAAAACATCGATTGGCGTAACGTCCAATTCTACTATTGCCCCGTCAAGCGGATCAAGAAGTAGCTCCAGTTCTAGCTCAGGTTCTCCCTCATGTTCATCTTCCTCCTCCTCTTCGTCCAGCGCCTTTTCCGCGTGCACCTCCTCCGCCGCATCGTCGAGCAGCACGGTCTATGCATTGCACACATGTAGTCTGGGTCTCAAACAAAACAAGGATGCAAGAAGGTTCGTCATGCTTGTCTCGCATGACTGAAGAGCGTGCGACGCGTGTCCAAGGAGCGGCGACCCTTTTGCTTGTCAACATGCACGACGCAGCTTGTCTTCATTCGGAAACCGAAACACCAAAGTGCAACACTAAGCCGCGCAAATATTTCTCATGCTTACAGAGCATCAGCATTCTTTCACTACAAGGCCGCAGCTTATGTCGCGCAGTGGGAGGGCGAACGAGTGGACAGGGGGGAAAGAAAATTCGCCAGAGGATGGGCACGGGGAAAGATTTCTGATGCAGGGTGGGGCCAAGCATCTGCGCCGTTTCTTGTTGAAAGAACCAATGTGGTGCGCCATGGAGCCCGTGGCCCCCGTCCTTGTGCGAGCGTGAGGACCTCGCCCGCATTGGGCGCGCGCCCTAGGCGGCAAGCCTTAGGCCCAACAACGCCAAGCGCGGCAGCGGGCGGGCGCCACTGGACGGGGGAAGCAAGAAAGCAGGAGAACAGCCCGCGCCATGCGTGGCATTGGCGCGTGACGCCCCGCCCGCGCGTCTGTTGTGTGGCCCGTCCGTGAAGCCTGCCGGTGCGCCCCGCGCCGGCCGCTCCTGCACGCCTTGGCGCCCCCACTCCTTCTTCTCCCGCGCGCAGCCTTGCAGAGCAGAGGCTTGCTGGGGCCCCTGCCGCGCGCGTGGATACATAGAGGACGGGCGCCGGGGCGGGGCATCGCTAGCTTTCGAGGCGCAGGGGCCCACCACCCTCCCCCCGCACCCCCGGACAGCAGCGGCGCCCCACGCGTTAGCTTGCATGCAATCCGTGCCGCCCCCGGGTCTCCTCGCGCGCAGCTTCCAAGAGGCGGCGGACGGTGGCGCCCTCTGTCTGCCCGTCTCCTCGTGAAGAGGGGGAGGGCTCCGGGGGAGAGTGTTGGGCTGGCAGCTGCTCGCCTGGTGGCGGGGCGCGGCTTTGTTTCCCCCGGGGGCGGGCTGATGCTTCCCGGCTTCCTTCGCGGCCCCCTCGTGTTTCCCGCTTTCCATGTGCTTCCCGCCTTCCCCGTGCTTCCCGCCTTCCCCTTGCTTCCCGCTTTCCCCGTGCTTCCTGCTTTCCCCGTGCTTCCCGCTTTCCCCGTGCTTCCCGCTTTCCCCGTGCTTCCCGCTTTCCCCGTGCTTCCCGCTTTCCCCGTGCTTCCCGCTTTCCCCGTGCTTCCCGCTTTCCCCGTGCTTCCCGCTTTCCCCGTGCTTCCCGCTTTCCCCGTGCTTCCCGCTTTCCCCGTGCTTCCCGCTTTCCCCGTGCTTCCCGCTTTCCCCGTGCTTCCCGCTTTCCCCGTGCTTCCCGCTTTCCCCGTGCTTCCCGCTTTCCCCGTGCTTCCCGCTTTCCCCGTGCTTCCCGCTTTCCCCGTGCTTCCCGCTTTCCCCGTGCTTCCCGCTTTCCCCGTGCTTCCCGCTTTCCCCGTGCTTCCCGCTTTCCCCGTGCTTCCCGCTTTCCCCGTGCTTCCCGCTTTCCCCGTGCTTCCCGCTTTCCCCGTGCTTCCCGCTTTCCCCGTGCTTCCCGCTTTCCCCGTGCTTCCCGCTTTCCCCGTGCTTCCCGCTTTCCCCGTGCTTCCCGCTTTCCCCGTGCTTCCCGCTTTCCCCGTGCTTCCCGCTTTCCCCGTGCTTCCCGCTTTCCCCGTGCTTCCCGCTTTCCCCGTGCTTCCCGCTTTCCCCGTGCTTCCCGCTTTCCCCGTGCTTCCCGCTTTCCCCGTGCTTCCCGCTTTCCCCTTTTCCCCGTGCTTCCCGATTGCCAAATATTTTGGGGGTTGCCGAATTTTTTGGGGATTGCCAAATATTTTGGGGATTGGGAAATGTTTTGGGGATTGCAAAATATTTCGGGGATGGCAAAATATTTTGGGGATTGCAAAATATTTCGGGGACTGCAAAATATTTCGGGGATTGCAAAATATTTTGGGGGTCGCAAAAGATTTCGGAGATTGCAAAATATTTCGGGGATTGCAAAATATTTCGGGGATTGCAAAATATTTCGGGGATTGCAAAACATTTCGGGGATTGCAAAATATTTCGGGGATTGCAAAATATTTCGGGGATTGCAAAATATCTCGGGGATTACAAAATATTTCGGGGATTGCAAAATATTTTGACGATTGCAAAATATTTCGGGGATTGCAAAATATTTCGGGGATTGCAAAATATTTCGGGAATTGCAAAATATTTCGGGGATTGCAAAACATTTTGGGGCGGGAAATATCGGCCGTTGGCCGTTTGCGATTTGTTCGTTGGCCGTTGGCCGTTTGCGATTTGGGCGCTTGCGATTTGGCCGTTGGCCGCTGGCCGTTTGCGATTTGGCCGCTGGCCGTTTGCGATTTGGCCGTTGGCCGTTTGCGATTTGGCCGCTGGCCGTTTGCGATTTGGCCGCTGGCCGTTTGCGATTTGGCCGCTGGCCGTTTGCGATTTGGCC